ATGTTACAAATGTAGTACTTTTGTGCACGCTTTTGTTTACCTGGGTTTATTAAATGGAAACAGTGGCATTGTTCATTTTTGTATGACTTACTGGTCATCGTTTCCATAAATGTTGTCATTTTCAGTCACTCCAACAGGCACATCAGGATTTCCAAATCTTTTTGAAAACAATTGTGTTTAATTCAACTTGCATTCAAATTATAATTAGTAAATAAGACGCTAAACACTTTAAATATATACATACTGTTGATCACCATCTCCTGAACTATCAATGATTTCCTGGGCACAACAGCACAATACTGCTGTAATCAACACAAAACTCCTTAGCTAAAAGAGAAAACCGATATTCAGATAGATCAAAGCATTCTCCAAGGTAAAATTCACCATATATGTATAAGTGTAAACCAAAAAATAAATAAATTCAACAGTTATATTTATTTGAACAAGTTTGGTCACTGAGCTTCATTAGGAATGGAAAGACAAAACATTTCAATTCAAATGCAGTGTTGAAAATGTACTTTATTACTACAACATTTCAACAAAAATGTATTATATGTGTTCCTTAGCATATTTATTTAGTTTAACTATTTTTTTTAAACTGTGAGTTTAAATCATTTTGCTTAACTAGCCCTAGCATTGGTGCTGGTACTGACTAATCTAATGCATATACACAAACATGTTATTGTATAGCATCCTATTGAATATATACATTTAAAAGAGAGATCTGTCCATGTAGCACTGTATGTATCACCAAAACCAATCTACTCTAGATATTAAAGTTAATATTAAACAATTATTTTTTATCTGGAAACTGCACCAAAATATTCACACACAAAACATGACAAAATACAACCCTATTTTATTTACTGTACATTCAATCTATCAAAAAAAATAATAAAAATAGTATGAAAATAAGATGAAGAAGAAAACAATTATATCATATTATAAAAGAAGCATTAAACTCCCTTTGAGATAAATAGTAAAAAATATATATACCATACCATGTTGTGGTGGGATATGTTAAGCAAGAAGACCAGTAAAATTGTTCAATGAATCGCCAACAAGAGGTCTTCAGACTTTATTTAAAGGCCCTTAAATAAATAACATCTTCATCATCGCTGTGTAACACACATTTTTCATCCAATCACTTTATAGCAGTCTTGTTGATGGTAAAATGAGGCAACTTTAATGATATTCTACATGTGGTCTATTGACTTCAATTTTATTTGCATCTACACTTTCGTGTGAACTTTTCTGTGTAAATATGTCATACTTGTTCAATATCTGAAGTGTACTTTCACATTAAACATACATTTATATGATTACCATGTAAAAACTGCACAGTTGTTTGTGGTTCTCTTGAATCTGATTAGGGATTCTGAGAATGTATCTAAGACTTCTTCTAAAACAAGTTTCAGTCACATGCCAACGTTTGTTATACTGACACAAAATGCCATAGAAAGATTAGGACTATAAAGCAAAACTATTAATACAATTTTTTTTAAATAAAAGTTTACATACACTCGTATACTGTACCTCTATAAGCATGTGTACATCACATAGATGTCTCATTTATGTTTGCGTTTACATCTGGAAGACAGGTTTATTTACTCATCTATTTGATTTTCATTTTCAGATGTTAATAGATGTTTAGAATACGTCTTTAAGATGTTTAAAATTTATAATGTTCTTTCAGTAGTCTTTTTTTAAAGATGTTTGTCAGACCTTTGAACAAAGCAGATGTAATATCTGCTATCTAGGAGCCAGATCCATTTCTTACACAAAAGGAAAGAGAAATAGAGAGATAATTAATAATACATGTTCAATAATAAGATTTTGTACATTGTAAATTCTATTTTTTTCATGTATTTATTCATTTTAAAGATTTATTTCTTGGCAGTAGGTTAGGGGTTAGTATTGGGAAAAGTCCACAAGCTGGGACTCGAACTCGGGATGCCCGGAGTGCAGCCGCGCCATATGTCGGTGCACTAATCACTGGCCTATCACGCTGACAAATTCTAGTTTAGTAAAATATAATAGGCGAGGTAGTGGCGCAGTACCTTCACAGCAAGAAGGTCGCTGGTTCGAACCTCTGCTCAGTTGGCGTTTCTGTGTGGAGTTTGCATGTTCTCCCTGCCTCCCTGCCTGGTGCTCTGGTTTCCCCCATAGTCCAAAGACATGCGGTACAGGTGAATTGGGTAGGCTAAATTGTCCATAGTGTGTGTGTGTGTGTGTGTGTGTGTGTGTGTGTGTGTGTGTGTGTGTGTGCGTGCGTGCGTGCGTGCGTGCGTGCGTGCGTGCGTGCGTGCGTGCGTGCGTGTTTCCCAGAGATGGGTATCCTCTGCGTAAAAACTTGCTGGATAAGTTGGCGGTTCATTCCACTGTGGCGACCCCGGATTAATAAAGGGACTAAGCTGACAGGAAAATGAATGAATGAATGAATAAAATATAATAATTGTTTGGTTCTAAGAAGCAGTCCAGTATAGATTTTCAGCCCAATTTCACAGGGAAACATAACTATTTTTTGGATTGTAAGAAAAGTGGTCAATTCGTATGAATTTGCACAATGTCTTTCATGCAAAAGTTGAATTTTTCAAAAGAAGACGAGCCCCTAAATTTGAGTCATAATAAAATATGCAAATGAGATCCTAAAGATTTATACAAATTTACAACTAAAGTTGTAACAAATATCTGTAGGCATCAAGAAAGCAATGTAGACCATTTTCCTTTATATGTATAATATGTATAAAGTTAAGCCTTTGTTTCCTCTTTTAACGATAATTATTTGACTCTGTCAAAGACTTATTTTGAAGATGAATGTGTTAAACATGAATGCTCTGCTGCATTTGGTCTGCTGTTGAATTATTACATTGTTGTTGAATAAAAACAAACAAACAAATAAATAAATAGCCAGAATTACTTTTGTATAAACATTACTTCCACATAAACATCACAAAAGCTCTTTAACTTAAGACTTTTCAATGTTCCACTTAGATGATGTGATTGGTGATCTAATTAGCCTGTTTGATCAGGTTTCATTTGTGTATTTGTTGACATTTAATATAAAATAATATGATATGATATGATACGATATAATATAATATGATAAGATACAATATAATATAATGTAATATAATATGATATGATATGATATTATATGATGATATGATACGATACAATATGATATATGATATGATATCATATGATATGATATAATATATAAGTTGAGCTCAAAAGTCTTTAATTATGGTTGTCGTTTGTCGTATGAGGAAACAATAGTCAAGTATCCTTGTATAAACTTTGTTTATGCTTGTTTAAACAAAATAATACAAATCAAAGTATATATTGGTTAAATTGCATAGTTTTGTAGATTTTGATGTTGAGTATACTTCATGTTGTCATAAATTCATAGTGTGAAGTGTTTCATTTGGGACACAACTCAAATGTTCAATCTTTGCTTTCTTTATGATGCCAAATCTTATTTTCAGGGAAAAGAATGTGTCTCCTTGCTGAAGACGAGCAAACTTGAATGTTTTTAATACACAGTTCTCCAATGAAAGAAGTTGATGTTTTTTTGGGATTAACTTCAAGTAAATAACTGGAGCTCAGTGTTTTATTTACATTAGCAAAGTCAAGTAAAATTGAATAATGAAGCAGGATTAAAAATGGGTCACACTTTATTTTAAGATCACCTTGTTACTGTGTAACTATTCATTTAACTTCATCAATAACATCTACTTACAGTTACCGTTTGAATGTGGATTAGGCTTAGCATTAGTTATGCTTGTAATTATGAATAATTAATTGCAATAGTATATATTGTAATTATACACTGTAAAAAATGCTGGGTCCACACAATCAATTTGTGTTGGGACAACCTGAAGGAATTGAGTTAACCTATTAGTTTTTACAAATTTAAGTGGATTGAACATAAAACAAGTTGTCCCCCCCAAAAAACCCTTAAGAATTGTGTAGCTTGAGCTCATTTTAAATAAGTAGTTTAACTTTTTTTTTCCACTTTAGCTCCTATGATTAGGTGACTTAAAATAAGCGAGTAAACCCATTGTCTTGCATTTTTTTAAGTAAATGAACTATGTGCATAATTCTAAAAAAATGAAGTGAAGGCAACTTAACAGTTCCAAGTTACATTGTGTTTACTCACTTTTTAAAGTAAAGTCAACTTTTCATTTTTAAGGCAACTGCAATGTAAAAAAAAAAAAAAACTGACCCAACTTAAAATTTCAAGGCAACCAGCTTTAGGACATTTTTAAGTTTACCCAACTTTAATCGAGCCAAGTGCAGTAATTGGGTTAAAGTTTAGTCAACTCAAAAAAGCTTTGCAGCGAGTTGCTTTACAATTTTGAGTTGAGTCAACTTTTTTTTTACAGTGTGGGTTTACACACTTTTTAAAAAAGTAAATAATCACTTTTTACAGTGTATGTATGTATAAGATAGTGTATTTTGTGTTATTATACTTTGTTTCTATTTTTAGTTCTACCTTTTAACATTCTGTCAAGAGTCTACAGATAATTAATAGCCATTCTTGGCTAATACTGGCACATTTTACAGTAACGTTGATTAATGTGCATTGCCCCTGTAAACAACTAAATTAAACAAAACAATAAACAGCAAGTGTAATTGTTTGAGTGTATAAGTACTGTATAACATGTATAAGTGTCACCAAAAAATAATATATATTATAAATACATTAGCTTCGTGATTTTTAAAGCCTGAAAAAAAAAAAACTAAAAGTTTGCATGTACTTTGCTTTTTTTGTGTTTTTATTAGCGCAAGCAACAGATTCATAACATTGTGCATTGTATACCCCTATTGTTGCAAATACTCATGAATATTTGTGTAATCGTAGTGAACACAGCATTAAAAACCTAAAACTAAAATAAAAAATTCAGTCACAGAACTCGCGCTAGACATTTGAGAATCTGCAGACTCATTCTACAGTTCTGCATACTCACAACAGATTGAAAGCCAGATAAACGATGTTTTATTGTAGGATCACTTAAGTCTTTATTTGATTGTCAGACTTTTCATCCAGTTAGAGGCCTGTGCAATGCTGTAGATGTGTGTTGTGTCCAGTTGTATTAAGCAAGAACACATGGTTTGCTGTGGTCTGAAACCAGCACTAGATTGACAGAGCAGGTTGTTTTGTCGACAAGCATCTCGCATTCATCAGGATGATCAATTGCTAAAGGGATCCTACACACACACACAAAGAAGACAACAAACAAAGCATCAATATAATGTAGATAAACAAGCTTTATAACATTATAGGAAACATAATCATTCGAAAAAAATGATATGTCTTTGCCAGCTACTGTCAAACGTACTTGTTACAGCAGCGAATGCCAGAATGTGCACAGACACAGTTGTAACAGTCGTGTTCCCACTCGGAGTTGAAGTCATGGGTTTGTCCCTCAGGGTCAATACAGCCTAGAAAACCAAAGAGCAAATAAAAAACACAAGATCAGGTTTATATGATTACTGACAATTATGCTTTGTGCTGACATGCAAATTTATCAAATAATATCCAGTGTCCATTATTAGGAGCTCAAGTTGTCATTTCTGCAGATTTCTTTTATTTGTTTGGTGTTATCTTAAAACATAGGCAAGGCAAGGCAAGGCAAGTTTATTTATATAGCACATTTCATACACAGTGGCAATTCAAAGTGCTTTACATAAACAGGAATAAAAAAGACAAGTTTAGGAACATAAAATGCAGACAATAAAAATTAAAATGAGTTAAAATAGGTTATGAAAGAATGAAAAAGAAAACGAAAAACTTAATAGTGTGATCTGTCGGACGCAGCAAAGTGCTCATTCAGTAAAGGCACAGCTAAACAGATGTGTTTTCAGTCTTGATTTGAATGTGCCTAATGTTGGAGCACATCTGATCATTTCTGGAAGCTGATTCCAGCAGTGAGGAGCGTAGTGGCTGAAGGCAGATTCACCCTGCTTTGACTGAACTCTTGGAACTTCTAGTTTATATGATCCTAAAGATCTGAGTGATCTGTTAGGTTTGTATTCAGTGAGCATATCTGTAATGTATACAGTATTGAGTTAATATATCTTTCCTAATGATAGTCTACTCTAGTTTTTTAAGTGTTAGGGGGAGTGATATTGAACACTTTTAGTTTTATTATTAATTAATTCATTAATTCAATTTTCTATTAATATTTTCACTTTTCATTTTCTGTTACATTTGAGTGATTTTGTTGTATTTATATTAGTTTCAAGAATTCACACTTAGCTCATGATTTATACATAGCTTGTTTGGCATGTTGCCCAGGAGAAAGCCCTGAACTCAAGGGATTGTCTGGCCCAGAGCTCTCTCCTTTTCGCAGGGTGAGGGGAGATTAAACTCAGGTTGATCTTAACCCACTCCTGAGGCTCAAAGGCGAACTTCTTGAGAGTAAGACATTTAGAAAAAGGACCTAGGCTTATTTTGTCTATAAAATAGAGCATATTTGAAAGGTGGGAGGAACCCAGGGGAAACCCACGCGGACACGGGAGAACATGCAAACTCCACACAAAAATACCAGATAGCCCAGCGAGGACCCGGAGCCATTGGTATTCTTGCTGTGAGGCAACAGTGCTAGTCACTGGGCCACCGTACCGCCCATTCTGGATAAAGGAGGAAGAAGGGGGGTTTCTTCCAGACGAAGATAGTTCCTTTGATTGGATGATTGTGATTAGCTAATGTGGGTCAGCTGGTCAATCATGAGCACGTGCTCCTCTCGAATTTTTGTTCAATATTAAACTTTACTTAGATTTTTATAATATTTCTTTTCTACATTTTAGAAAAGTTCATGTTTATTACGCTTTAGTTGTACTTATTTTAATTATTAACATAATGAAAGGAAAATGATCAATATTTCCTTGGCAATTTACTGAAATTAGATTTTTTTTTGCATGCATATATTTTTAATGCACTGTAAAAAAATCCAGTTTGCCTTCAATTTTTAAGCTGAATCAATTTAACCTTATGAGTCCATTGAACTTCAATTATGTTAAACTGACTTATAACAGCTTGTGTAACTTATAAAATTAACTTAGAACATGATTAACTTCATATAGTTTTAGTTCACTGTAACTTAATAAACTCTGTCATGACTAATTGATCATATAATTTTATGTGAATGTTATGGACGTATTTTATTTATATGTGTATTTTATAAATATTTAAATTGACAGTAAATATGATTAATAAATTAATTATTATTTGAGAGACATTTGAAAGAAACCTTTATATTTATCCTTAGAAGGTAAATAATGCAATATAACAATAATTCTAACAGCTTTATAACAATATAAGTTGATTAAAAGCATTAACATGATGAAACAGTTTACTAAAAAGATTGCTTTTAAACATTACTTGGGTTACTGTATTGACTAACACTAACAATGGACAATGTATTGCTACAACATTCAATTTTTGATGTTTATTGTTAATAAACAAACAGCTGGCCTTATTTTCTTGATGTTAGTTATGGTATATTAACAAATACACCTTAATATTTAATAATGCATATAGAGCTGAAGACAGAACTATTAGCCCCCCTGTTTATTTTTCCCCTCAATTTCTGTTGAAAGGAGAGAAGATTTTTTTTAACACATTACTAAACATAATAGTTTCAACAGCCTATCTCTAATTACTGATTTATTTTAACTTTGCCATGATCACAGTAAATAATTTTTGACTAGACATTTTTCAAGACACTTCTATACAGCTTAAATAAAATTTAAAGGTTTAACTAGGATAATTAGGTTAACTAGGCAGGTTAGGATAATTAGACAAGTTATTGTTTAATGATGGTTTGTTCTGTAGATTATCAAAAAATATATATAGCGTTAAGAGTCAAATAGTTTTGACCTTAAAATGGTGTTTACAAAATTACATTTTTTTTTCTGTAACTGAATTAGCACAAAAGACATCTCAAAATAAAACATCGACAAAATATACACCAGCCGTTTTGATTACCTTTCATGTTGTCTAATATGCTTTCGACGGATAACAGATCGACTCGAGGTTTATAAATGTAACACTCTGCATTGCAGGAAACCACCAAGAAGAGGAGAGAACACACTCGCAGCAGCCACTGAGAAGATTTAGAAGGAAAACATGTAAGTAAAGGGTTAAAAATGTATTTAAATAAATAAGTATATCTTCCAAAAATGCAATATAAATGTTTTACAGAACCTCTCCTTTTGTCTCCTTATAAGCCAGAGTGTATACCATTTGTATTTGGTTGATGAAAATGTCTGAAAAGCTGTATTTTCTGTTATGAATAATAAACTGTTACTGTACCATGATGTCAGTGTTTGAGCTGTCTGAGCAGGTGCTGATGCAGGATCTGTTAAGACTCCACAAGTGGCTGACTGGACACACACACAAACACACACACACACACACACACACCTTTTTATATCATATAATTTCTGTAATAAATCAAATCTATTTGTCCTGGCTTAAACAAGAACTGAGTTTGAGCATGGGAAGGTAAGGACATTTTCCACAGCAATTAATTAATTCTTTAAGGCTGTGTTTGATCATGTCACCTCATTTTGTATGCCTTGGCACTAATACATTTAAAAAAAAAATCTTTTTTTTATTATTTATTTATTGGTTTCTTTAGCTGAATCATAACAGGAGTGACCACTTGAAAATGACCACAATCTTTAATTTATAATGTTTAATGTATAACAATGTCAACATTTTCCAGATGTAAACGACTATTTAATAATATATATGATAACATAGATTGAGAACAGTTTGGCTTCTTCTTCTTCTTCAAAAAATATATTTTTATGTCATAAAGCTGTTGAAGTCAAAATCAAAATCATTCATAATTGCTACTCAATAAGTACCAAACTAGCTAAATTTGATAACAATATTTCCCCTAAATGGTCATTTTTTACTCTATATGATGATGGGGGGGGGGGGTATGTAGCTCCTTCTCATTGTAAATTTATTATTAATTAGCTTTTTTTGGCTACATTTGACATCCATAAATGTACATTTTCAAAGAAACACCCTTAATTTTATTTTAGAAAGGACTTTGATTTATATGTGAACTCTTTAAAAGACTCTAACATTTATATTGCATGGAAAACTCTTTCTTGGTGTAAATCATTTAAACTTGTTTAATTTGCTGGAATTTATTTAAACCTTTGTTCTTACTGTATCTTTGTAAATGTTCTTTCTTGCATAATAATAAAAAACTACTAATGATTTTAAAACTGCAGTTAAGTTAATCAATACATTTGGTGAAATAAAGTAGCCCTAATTTTCATTCACAACTAAAAAATCTTACTTAAAAAAAAAACAAAAAAAACTTTTTTATCAGACCATATTTTATTCTATAGGCAATATGAACAGTAAGAGGTTAATGAGAAAAAAATAAAAACGATTTATTGCAAAAGTACACTAGTTCCTAGTGTAATGTGTAAAAAACAAATTAACACTGAAATCCCACAGCTGCTGATAGCCCATGTACAAACTGGGGAACACATAAACTCATACACTTTGATAATAAACATACATGTGAAGTTAATAAAGATAAATAGGCCATTTCAAATAAACATATTTGTACTTTAGTAAACATAAATAAACCATCGTAATTATCTCGGTGCTGAAAAAATGCAAGACTGTATCTGTAACGGGGATCGAGTGCTTTTTAGTTAGAGTGGGTTTGTCTGACAAACATATGCAGACAGGTTGAACAGTTAAATCAGTTAATCTCTAATCAAACTGTTCTGTATTTTCAAAGCGACACTTTTTACATCACACCTAACTATATAAACAGAAATGGTCTTAAGCTAATATACAGGGCACTGTGTAATTTTCATAACTCTTGCCACATAAAAGCACACATTTTAATAAATATTTAATAAACTTTTATTATTCTAGTTCAAGAATTCTCCAGGTATACCCCAATTTCTTAGACCTCACATAGCCTTCAGTTACATTAAAAAAAACAACAACAGTGTTACAGAATGCTACATTCACAGATGTCAATTGCACAAACATGAATCGTACACATGAATGAAATAGCTGTATAATAGCTCCCTTTAAACAATTCAATCGATTTAAAAAGTCTTCAATACAAATATTGGCAAAACATTACAAAATACTCCCAGAATCACTTACAAAAAATAATATTAATGTACCTCAATACAAAGTGTCAAAGAATGTGTTAGCAAAAGATATGTTTTATATCTCTGTGGCTGTAAGACTTTAAATATGCACCATTAGACATGTCAAGAATAGAATAGGCAGCATTAATTAATAAAGACTCAAAGTAAATTAGCACTTCTCTCTGTTAAACATACTGTAAAATGATCAGGAGTTGAAATACCGTTAGTGTAACAAATCTGCAATTATAGACATACTCAAAACATTAAACACTAATTATTTTTCTGAATAATGAGGTATCAAAGAAAAATTAAAGATGTTCTTTGTTGTTTGGCATTTAGAGGTGTAATTATAAAAAGTGCAAGTCGACAAAACCAACTGCTCTGATTTACAGTTAAAGATTTTGGAAGAAAGTAAACAACAGCAATAAATATAAAAAATAAATAATTTCCCCCAAGACTGCGTCTCTATCCTAGCAATATGTTGATGAAGGAAGGTGTGGGGAAAGGCCAGCAGTATTCATTTGGAACGGGTCCCAACACGTTGCACTCGAAGAAGGAGAAGAGCGGGAACCAGACACGTGCTCTTCGGCTGTGCTGATAGGCCTGTGTGTTGGCCAGCGTGTGGTAATACAGGAAGAGTCGGGTGGTGATGTAGAAGGCGATGAAGACGTCGATGGAGTAATGTTCATGAGCTGCCAGGATGAAGAAGATACCAAACAGGTTCAGCACCCATGACATGGTGTGGATGAAGTTCCAGTTACGTGGCGTGTCTGAAAGTTTACATAAAGCAACTGATCACACTAAAAAAATTAATGATATTGACCTTTAAAGGGATTGTTCACAAAAAACGAAAATTCTGTCATCATTTACTCATCTTTCACTTGTTTAAGTCCTGTTTGAGTTTGGAACAACCATTGACTCCCATTTTGTTTTTTCTACTACGGATGTAGATTGGGTGCTAGCCACCACTCTTCTTCAAAATATCTTCTTTTGAGCTTAACAGAAGAAACTCAAAGGTTTAAAAATCACATGAGAGAGAAGAAATGATGAGACAGTTTTTAGTTTTTGGTGAGCTATCCATAACATTTGAAATATAATGCAACTGACCCTTTATTGGGAGTTTGATTGACAGACGAGCTGACCAATCACATTGCTGACATTGGGTTACTTTATTGATTTATTTTTTTTACTTTAACTCAAGTCATCTACACATGCTTAAAAGCATAGTTCATCCAAAAATTAAAATTTACTCACTACATAAACACTCAAGTGGTTCTAAATGTTTTCCAAAAGCAGATCTTTTGAAGAAAGCTGAAAACCTGTAACCATTGAATTTCATAGTAGGAAAAAAACAATACTATGGAAGTCAACGGTTACAGGTTTTAAGAACTCATAAGTTTAGACGAGTAAATAGTGAGCAAATGATATAAAAGTATTTTGAAGAACTTTGTGTCTGCTTCAGTACAATTATTTACCATTTCCTCTGGGAGTGTGGGAAATGACTGTGGGGATTTCCTATATACAGTAGAATTGTATAATTTGAGGAATTGATTCTGCTTGGATTGCGAGATTTTTAAAATACAATACATAATATTCTCTTGAATCGTTTCTGAGCTTAGTTTTTAACAACAGGCAACACTGTAAAGTATGTTTACAAACAGCCATTGTCTGCTTGCATCCAATTCCTTACAAATACCACTTAAACCTAATCATTAAGACTGTATATAGTGAGCCATGTTTACATTAATCTCCTGACATAAAAGCCAAAATACATTCAAGAGAGACCAAGAATGTATTTTGAAAATCTTACAATCAGTCACATAATTCATTTATTGAATAATTTTTTTAAACTCTATATTAGATACAGTTGAAGTCAGATTTATTAGCCCCCTTTGAATTTTTTTCTTTTTTAAAATGATGTTTAACGGAGCAAGGAAATTTTCACAGTATGTCTGATAATATATTTTTTTTAAAACTCTATTTTTTATTTGTTATGTTTTGGCTGGAATTAAAACAGTTTTTAATTTTTTAAAAAACATTTTAAGGTCAAAACGATTTAACTCTTTAGGCAATTTTTTTTTCGATAGTCTACAGAACAAACCATCAATATACAATAACTTGCCTAATTACCCTAACCTGCCTAGTTAACCTAATTAACCTAGCTAAGCCTTTAAATGTCACTTTAAGCTGTATAGAAGTGTCCTGAAAAATATCTAGCAAAATATTATTTACTGTCATCATGGCAAAGATAAAAGAAATCAGTTAGCAGAGATGAGTTATTAAAACTATTATGATTTGAAATGTGTTGAAGAAAATCTTCTCCATTAAACAGAAATTGGGGAAAAAAAAACAGGGCGGCTAATAATTCAGGGGGGCTAATAATTCTGATTCACAAGAGGATAACATTCTCCGGAGTTTGTGTACTTACATTCAGTGACAAAAAAATTAAGCATGGTGAGCACCACAGTGTGTCCACTGAACATGTAATCTCCACATGTATGAACTCCAGTTAAAGACATGCCGAGTCCACTCCAGATTTCCAGTGCACGCTGCACTTTAGTCCAAGCATCACCATATATCTGCAAAACACACATACATATGATGTTACTGGACACAAATTGGAACTACACATTTCTGGATAGACTGAAAATTGTTTTTTTTTCCTGAATAGGCAAAATAAGTAATTTACTAGAGGTTCTGATAAAAAGATATTTGCAGCAGTCTTTTTTTAGATTATATTAAAATGTAATTGAAATGGTATTTAAATTCCAGTTTAAACGACTGATTTAATAACTAATTAAGACTTATGTTACATTACAGAATGATTAATGTTTGAAAAATTTCTTGAACAAATTATACTCATAAATACTGTTTAAATGCTCATTTGTCATCACCTATTGGAGTAACAATAGCTACAACATTTAAAGCATCAAGTTGCTTTGATCGCTACCTGATATCAGTATACCTATAAACTGTTATCCTTGTGACAATATTAACTTGTAACTCTGAAATAATTAGACTGCAATGGTTAAAATGTTCATTTTAAAATTGGTAAAACTTAGCATGTCATTAGCATAGGTTCAGTCACTTTATTTTCTTGTGGTCCAAACAGTCTACTGACTAGAAGTAATTTACAAGTATACATACACGTTTACTACTAATCTTCATCCTAACATAGCAGTCTTCTAGTACTTATACTCTAAAGCAGAGGTGGCAAACTTTTTTCTTATGAAGGGCCAAAATCCAAGCCTGATTGAGAGCTGTGGGCCGAAAGTAAATATAGCAAACTGTATTACATTAAAGTTGCCATGGGTAATTTATGGGTAAAAATCTGACTCATTTACAACATTTAATTGAAACATTTAATTTTAGTTAGCTTTTTTGTAGTTCAACAAACAAACAAACAAACAAACAAACAAACAAACAAACAAACAAACAAACAAACAAACAAACAAAAAAACAAAAGGTACAAAAGGGAATCTCTCTTAAAGGCATTCCCCAATCCTTTCTTATCATTTTCACCCTGGTGGGCCAAATAAAAGGATACAAAGGGCCAACTTTACAAAAGGTCAACACTAGTTTGGCCATCACTGCTCTAAAGTGTTAGTGCAAACTACTTACAGTAAACAAAATGTCTGAAGGTCATAAAAATAGTACCTCTCAGAAATAAAGGTATACAGGAGCCGTCACTGGGGCAGTAACTTTTCAGAAGGTACATATTTGTTCCTGAATTGCCCATAATGGTACCTCAAAGGTAATTTTTAGGTACATTTGGGCACTAACATGCACTTTTGAAGTACCACAGTGGATTCTTTGCGTACAAATATGTATCTTTTGGAAAGGTAATAACACCCAGTGACGGCTCCTGTACCTTTATTTCTAAGAGTATATGAACCAAACATAAAATGTAAAAAATACATTTATTTATATTAATAAAGTAAGTTAACACTTTATTTCAATAGTCCACTTTAGATATTCAACTAACTGTAAGTATCTTTGCAGCTATTTGTCTATTTATTCTGGTTTCCTCTACATTCATTCCTCTATGGCGGGGCGCCACACCAAAATTCATCCCGCCACGGCTATATTACAGCTTCTCATTCGAAACATTCAGTTGTTGTTGTTGTTTTAAATAGCAATTATAATCGCAGTAAAACCTATTAAAAGGTAAGTTAATTATAAATCGCACTTCAGCAGTGTTTATTTGAGAGCGCACAAGAAAATCTGCACTTGAGCAGCGTATATCTGAGGGCGAGCAAGAAGCTTTGCGCATGAACAGAGGAAATTGGTCTGCAAGCAGATAGACTTAGATCAATGTTTATTATGGACCATCAAAACAAAACTGTAAGCCTTAAATTATATTCATATATTTTTCTAAAGAGGTATTTTGCCAATGTAAAAGCTGTGGCCTTAAGACTATGTCTTTGTGAGAGGTAGCAAACTGATGGCAGAATTAAAGGAAAAAGAAGATGAACTGTTTGTATATACTGATATTACATTTAAAGCAAGAAGAAGAAGACTGCCCTGATACCTTGCTGATCAAATTATTATTTGATTCTCAAGAAGACATCCGAGTAAACAAGACCAGTACATCAAACATGCCTTCTAACATCACATTTCCACAGAAGATCAAATAATACCACAGAATTAAAGTAAACGCCTTGACCTTAACACGTTTAATTGGCAGCCTGTTCAGCAAAGATGCATACAATTTATCAAAAGCGACAGAAAAAAAACATTTGTCACAAATAATTTCTCTTTTACAAATAAATACTGTAAAATTGAACCATTTTCTATTCATTAAAGAATGCTGAACAAATATCCCGGTTGCCATGCAAACAAAATAAGCATATTAGCATGATTTCTAGAGAATCCTGTCTGACTGAAGTTATGTTTTAAAATGTATTAGGATAGAAACCATAAAAATAATAATATAAATAATAATAATTTGTAATAATTATCACAAAGTGTTTATTGTGTTTTGATGAATCTTTTTGGTGATCTTGCTGCTAAGATTAAGACATTCTCAAGTTTTCAGAGTATATGGCATGTGGATCAAAGACACAAAGGTGTTTTCAAGCATTAAAATAAAAATTTATGTTTAGTATGTGGATTTATTGCCTATGCAAAATTTTCTGAAAATTTTGAATATTTATAAGGTTTAATTTTTTTCAGAAATATATGCGTTATGACTTTTTTTTTTTGGACATTTTATAAGCAAAGAAGACTGAAACATTTAATAATCGAATGTAATGTTTTGTACTGCCCAACTAAAATTTAAAACATGATATTTCCCAGTTTGTATAAGATTTATAGCTTTCACTAAATATTTAATGACCGTCTTCATACAGCTTCATGATTGTTATCCCTTACACTTGCTTCATTCCTTAATTTGTGTGCTGAATGTTACCTAATACACTGTATTACATATGACACGTTTCAGCTCTAATTCTGTTTAAAGAGATTCAGTCACAAAGAGATTCAGTGTAGCATTTGTGTTGTCAGGAAATGCAAGCAGGAAATTGAGTTGACAAAAGCACGTCTGATTTCACTGGCTGTCACAGATGCACCTCAGAGGCAGAAAATGAAAAAGACAGAATGTGTCTGTTTATAACTCTGTATATATGCCGTTTCCTCACCTTGCCTGAGCACTGCAGATGGTGACCAGGAACAGACAGGGAAGTGACAAACATTGTGACGCAGCGCAGCAAAAACACGGTGCCTGTCAAATTACACAGCCTCCGAAACAGAATAGACCTAAAATGCACAAAATGAAGTTACACAATTATGAAATTGATCAGAAGTTATAAAAATACATATATATAAATACACTTTAATATGTTTAAATATGCTAAAAATATATTGTAAATGTGAGTCTCAATAAAATATATTTTAATTGAGATTAAAATGTAAAATTTGAAAATATATTTAATTTCAACCTTAATTCAACCTTATTTTTTCAGGGTCATATAAACACATTTCTAACCGTGTAATTGATAAACACATTTCTAACCTTATAATTTTCAACCTTTTAAAAAAAATACATAATTAAAATAAAATAAATATTTGGAAAAAAAATAAACTGTATGTTCCTTGCTTTTAATTTTTAAAACCAAATGTTTTATTTTAAACAAATACAAATAAGACTCATTTATACTTATTTATAGTACATTTTCAAAAATATACAAAATTTAGATTTTAATTTTAGATTTATATTTAATTTATTATTTATTTTATTTTAATTTAATTTAGGAAGTAAATGCATTTTACTTAGCTTAGCAATGAAACATTTCTATTTTCTTTATATTTTGAAAACAAATAAACAGCATGTACCTTGCCTTACATTTTTTAGACCAAAATTTTTATTTTAAACAAATACAAATTTATTTTAGATTTATTTATAGAACATTTTCAAAAATTTTTACAAAATTTGTAATTATATATAATTTTTTAATTTTATTTATTATTTATTTTATGTTATCTTAATTTATTTTAATTTATGAAGTATACATTTTGGGCCATTTTCTCATGTATATTATTCAAATATACCTGAAAATATATCTTTTACCATAAGTAAATAATAAAAAAATATATATTTACACTTTTAGCAGAGTGAAAACAACTTGTAAACTAACCAAAATCATTCACATTCATTCACGGTCAAATGAAACGTAGCTGGAAGCTCTTTGTCTGATAATCAACCATGACAATATCATTTGCATGATATTTGCATAGTAAAGAAGCATTGTCATAAGAACAAGTTCTCAAAACAGAACAGTTTTGAGAGAACAGTCAACTTCATTAAGTGTTTGTATTTGATCGTTTACCTGTGTCTGTGCATCAGCAACACCAGCATTAACATGGAGCCCAATACCACTGCACACGCTTCAGCCATAGCAAAGGCCCAGGGAATCCTGGGAACACTGACACATAAATAACAAGGTTAGGACTCCCAAATTACCAGAAAAACATTAATTTGAACTGAACAGATGAAAGCAAAGTTAAACAGTGCATTTAGAATAAGCAAATAAAATCAAAATGAAATAATAATAGTAGTAGTAAATCTCAGAAGAAGGCCAGGGGGCGCTCTCGTGTGGAAATTACATTTAACATGGCTAAACATCACAACTGCAGATTCATCTCAAAGAAGAAATAGTTAAAACGCTTAAGTAAGGTCATGAAGTGGACTAAAAACATAATATTAAATGTGGTATTTTCACATACTTTCAGATTCAGCAGCAAAATAGACATCACTGAAAGGCAAGACAAACAGTTGCTGCTATGGTATCACAGAATAATTTGCTATTGCATATTTAATGATAATAGTTAAAAAGTTATTCAGATAATGAACATGATATCCTGTAGCTTGTCCATGAACTATGAAGAAAAAGCTGCTATTTCTGAAAGCACATTCAGGAGATTTATAAGTACATAAGCTGAAGTTTTAATTTATCTACTAAATATTTATAAATACTAAATATTATAAAGTAAAAGAGAAGGCCCTACACCAAATGTCTACAAAAGTTAGTGTATCAATCAAAGATGAATACGGAAGTAATAAAAATCTGCACACAGATATGCCTGCCTGATCTCACGAGGAAAGCAAGTATTTAACGTTTTGTCAGTTTAGTGGCTGATTCATACGAACTCGTACGAGTTCAGTCATATGAAAAAGGTACAATTTTAAAAGGGAGGCATGGCACCTAACCCCACCCCTGACCCAAACCATCATTGGGTGATGAGCAAATCATACTAAAATGTACGAATTAGGTCGAACAAACTCATCCGAATTAGCCACTAAAGCAAAAAGTTAAGAATTGCCGTGAGGTTGCGTTGGATATGCAGGGTATAAAGCACCTGGAAAATTGTTTATGCTACATCAGAGGACTCAAAACATGCAAAGTGCAAGATAAGTGAGAAAGAACTTTGAACTTTGCACTTAGGAAGAGCTTTCTGCTCAGTTTTGCACTTTGTGGCCTCTGATTTATCATATACATTTTTCAAATGCTATATACCCTGCATATCTGAGTGCAAATTTTAATTACTGCTCTACTAAATATTTATAAATATTTGTTCCATTGACAAATATTTATTTTTAATAAAAAATTATTGCAGTTTTAAACAATTTTTTGTTGGGTTTTTAATCTTTTTTGTTGCTTTTTTAATGCATGTATGCATAATAATATGTGATCTATAATTAAAATATCATTTGTTTAGTTCTAAAATTTAGTCATAAAATTGCTATGAAATCCCAGAGTATGGTCAGAGAAAATCTCATTTTAACCGCTGTTGCTGAACAGATTCAAAAGTATGACTAACATTTTAAACGGAGTTGTATTAATGGCCAGTAATAATAGTAAGTAATACAGCAATATTTACACCAGTCAAATGTTTGGGGTCAATTTTTTTCATGTTTTTTTTTTTAAACGATTCCGTTCATCAAAGCGGTCTTTATCACATGTAAAAAAAAAATTTTTACATTTTTTAAATATTTATTCAAATTTTAAAAAGTGCTTACTTATTGTGTGTAGTCATTCATTATTATCTTTTTGACTTAGTCCCTTTATTAATCTGGGGTCGCCTCAGCAGAATGAACCGCCAACTTATCCAGCATATGTTTTACGCAGAAGATGCCTTTGCAGCTAGAATATATGCCAATTTAGCTTACCCAATTCACCTAGCGCATGTCTTTGGACTTATGGAGAAAACCGGAGCACCTGGAGGAAATTATAATTAAAATCTCATTTGTGTAATTCCAAAATCTAATATAAATTTGCTCTGAAATCACCCAGTTTGGTCAGTGGAACCATCATTTTAACCTCTGTTGCCAAGCAGATGGATGGCTAACATTTTAAATAGAAAATTGTAAATTTGTCTGGATTATTGTTATTAAATTGATAGTTGCATTAATATCCTGTAACAAATATACATTTGAAAATATATGAAGTAAATAATAAAGCAATATACATTTTACATAAAATTTGTATGTTTTAAAAAAAGTTTGATTACTGAATTTTTCTAATAGAAAATGTTAAAATAAAACAAATTTCAGATTAAAATTACAACAATAATAATACTGGGCAGCACGGTGATTCAGTGGTTAGCACTTTCACCTCACAGCAAGAAGGTTGCTGGTTTAAGCCCTGGCTGGGTCAGTTGGCATTTCTGTGTGTACTGTAGTTTGCATGTTCTCCCCGTGTTCGTGTGGGTGTCCTCTAGGTGCTCCAGTTTCCCCCACAGTCCAAAGACATACAGTATAGGTGAATTAATTAAACTAAATTGGCTGTAGTTTATGTGTGTGAACGCAAGAGTGTATAGGTGTTTCCCAGTACTGGGTTGCAGCTGAAAGGGCATCCGCTGCGTAAAACATATGCTGGCTAAGTTGGCGATTCATTCCGTTCTGGCAACCCCTGATGAATATAGGGACTAAGCCGAAAAGAAAATGAATGACTGAATTTATTTTAGCATCAACTATTTATTTTGTTTATTTTTAATCTACTTTTCAAAATCTTATGAGTATGTATGCATAATAATTAATGATCTAATTAAAATCTCAGTTGTTTAATTCCAAAATCTAATAATAAATTTGCACTGAAATCACCTAGTTTGATCAAAGAAACCTTTAATTTGACAAACATTTTTGAAAATAAATTGGTTTGGAATATTGTTTTAAATTGATAGTTGCATTAGTGGGCAGTTACAAAAATACATTTGTAAATATAGTTTATAAATAATCAAACAATAGTGTATATTTTACATACATATTTTACGTACTGAATTTTTTCTATTAGAAAATGTTGAATGAGATTATCAAGAAACAATTACGCTATTTACACAACACATATCACTCAACACATTCAATGAACCAATGCACCAACCTATCCCCCCCAATTCTTCCTCACCTATCCAGAAATATATCAGGAAGCGGTGGGTATGTCCTCATATCAGGAACCCGCTCGTGCACCAACACCATGACGAATGATGTCACTCCGCACACCATCATGGCGTAAAGAGCACCGAGTGCAGTTTTCCAATACTCTGGATCCAAACGGCCACAATGTGACTTCCGCTTCCCATTGGAGTAACTATGATCTCCGTCGACTGTAGCAACCGTCCCGTTACAGTGTTGATGGTCTATTGATGCTCGCTCTAAATACCCATTGGACAGGGTCTGCTCTGTTCCTCCAGTGTCTATTTTAGACAGTGCACTGGAGTCTGAGTGTGTGAGGGTAGTGTAGTGTTTTTGTAGTCTTCGTATGGCCAGTGATAGTCTCTTTATGTCACCCAGCACCTTCAGCTCCAGGGGAGGAGAGCGCAGGTCCTTCTCGGTAAGACACAGCAGGCTGGGGCCATCCAGACGGTGTTTAGAGCATAACAGATCCACATATTCACGAAAACCCTGCTCTCTGAGCCACACTGCAACCTGCTTACTGCTCCAGCCCTCCACACCGGTGCACCTAGAGCTCGGCATACCTGCGCACACAGACAGGATTTTAAACTTGACTTATAAGGATAAATGGAGAATCAGAAACAGATAAATATTGACTGCTTAAAATTATTATTATTATTATTTGATATAAAATATGAAAATTTAAATGTATAGAACTGACATCTTTTAGGTTTTTGATTTTTGAGATAAAATTTTTATTGAACAAAAAGAGGAATAATCTAGCATACATTTTTAAAAGTTGGAAATAATCTAGCATACATTGTTATAGACTAGAATAGCAACCAACTGCATTTTCTATTAACTCCCCACCCCACCCCTGGAGAAATAATTAAACAAAAAAGAAAACAAATCAGAGCCAAAAACAAGAAAAAAAGAATAATAATAACAACAAAAACAACAACAACAACAACAATAATAATAATAATAATAATAAATAAATAATAAAAATATAAAATAAAAAAAGATTTTATAAAAAAGATGAAAAAGAAAAAGTTACAATAAATATAAACATATAACTAAAGTAAATACATAAATTTACCTCTGCATTTAACTTCTTACAAGAACACTTTTAATAAAGATATAATACATTGGATTTTAACACATAGGTTAAATAAAATGAAAGAAAAAAAAAATCCCAATAGCACATTTTTTATCATATATCCATGAGGTAATAGTTTATGTAGAAGTGCTATGTATCCTTGCCACAGACAGTTCCACATTTGCAATGTCTAAGAACAAGTTTTTAACTTGTTTTTAATATTTTTTTTAGCAGTGATGTTTTTATTTTTTTTTTTATTCATATTTTCCATATCAGATGTTAGGCAGTCTTAAAATATAAGAAAATTGTATTGAACTCCGGTGATGTTTTTATTTTTAGCAGCGGTGTTTTGTTTTTCAGTTAATGTTTAAAAGTTGTTAAAAAGAAATAAATGAAAAAGTGAACAAGATTTATTGTGATGTTCTTGTGTTTTCACCTTAGATTTGACTATAAAATAGCTTTTTTTTTTACAGTTTACAAAATAGAATAAAATAAAATAAAATTAGCTAAAATAAATTTAATTAAATAAGCTAAAAATAAAATAATATTCAATTAAATTAAATAAGCTAAAAAATAATAAAATAAAATAAAATAAAATAAAATAAAATAAAATAAAATAAAATAAAATAAAATAAAATAAAATAAAATAAAATTAAAAGCACTGTCGCCTGACAGCAAAAAAATCAGCGTAGGTTTCTTTCCGGGTGCTGGGTATGAATGAATGCGTGTTTGGGTGTTTCCCATCACAAGTTACTGTTGGGTTGTGGTTGGAAGGGCATCCGCCATGTAAAACATATGCCAGAGTAACTGCGGTGGTGAGACTGCTGACTCCTGATGAATCAGGGACTAGTAAGAAAATAAAATAAAAAGTGAGCTAAAATCACTGTGATGGTTCTTCTTTTTGCAGGGAAGTTATAAAAGTTGCACAAAAAACAAAACAAAAAAAAACACACGTGTCATGTCCCATGATTTCTGTTCCATTCTGTTGCAATCTGTCTAGCTGTGTGATGCAAACACCAAAAACCAACACAGAGATTCCATAAAGTGCTATATCACAAAAATAGAGAAACTTCACTCTTACTCACCATCACACAATGGAAACCAATGGGTTACAAAATTTAAGTTCCAAATAAAAAAGTCAGTTATACAGGTTTATAATAGGAGGATGAGTGTGAGACGTCTCGCTTTTCTTTTTAGGGTGGAGTATCTTTAAAAACCACTAGTCAACTAATCATCCAGACAAGCTGGTTTTGAAAACATGAAGTTTTCCACATCCCTAATCCAAAAAAATGCAGCAGAACAAGCAGACACTCGCAGTTTCATATTCTAAAGTTATTCACTATCAATCTCTCTGTCTCTCTGACTCCAAAGGTCTGTGTTCAATCAGTTTAACATGTATCTGAGAACATTGAGTGTTCAATTCTGCTGATTCTGGAGTGCTAAAGGGCAGCGTTTCTAACAAACAAACACACACACACACACACAAGCCACTTTCTTATCGGTGACTGTGTGTAACCTCAGTTATCAGTTCAAAGAATGTCTGAAATGTCATCACTGTGCTGGGCTGATTTAAATCTGCATGTGCGCTTGATTTTGACAGATAAAAGGTAATGTAATAAAAGTAGCATGTAGTCTTACAAGTGTATTTCTATTTTTAATGGTTTTCAGAATTTGAGTCGTCAAAATTATTAAATAAATAACATATAATAATATACAATAAACATTATTAGCATTATAATAGCATATTATTCACAAAACCATAACATATAATAATAATATTTATTGTCCATATATGCATGTTATTAACATAAGAGTGATTACAACAATAGTGACTTCATTTATGTGATCTTAAATTGGTAGAGAACTTCTTTATCTTAAAAACATGCTGATAAATGATTTCCGTATTATAAAGTAGATATATTTAGCTCAAATTATGGATGATGGTGATTCCAAATTTCAATTGCTAGTCAACGGCTATCAGGACTAAGTCTAAATATAAATAAATAAATAAATAAATAAATAAATAAATAAATAAATACATATGACTAATTGAAAATAATAGCTCCTGACATTGAGAAGTTTTACGAAGCACAAACTAATAATCAGTCCGAGGAAGAAACTGAAGAATATTTACAAAACTTCTGTTGTTTGTGCATCACCATGGACCAAGTATAAATGTCCACACCTATCATCAGGGCAAAGGACTTGTAATGTGCAGTTGTGCACACAGATAGGCAAGATCTGATAACGCGAACAAGCTGAACTACATTATAAACAAGCACCCTTATTATGATGCGTGTTAGACCTACTGTACTGGCAGAACAGGAAACTGAAATGAACTAACATTTCTAAACCATGCTGAGATTTTTCATACCAGCTTTTGGGTTACAAACAAAAAGAAGGAATATAAGTAGATTGTTATTATGGGCTTTTTTTAAATGTTCAACGAGTAATACATGGGTCAAAGGTATTTGTTGCATGCGTAAAATTACATTTACAATGGTGATTTTATTTTTGGGGCAGCACAGTGGCTCAGTGGTTAGCAGTGTCAGCTCACAGCAAGAAGGTCACTGGTTCGAGCCCCAGCTGGGTCAGTTGGCATTTCTGTGTGAAGTTTGCATGTGCTCTGATTTCCCCCACAGTCCAAAGACATGCGATAAAAGTGAATTGAACAAGCTAAATTGTCCGTACTGTATGTGTGTGAATGCAAAACTGTATAGTTGTTTCCCAGTACTAAGTTGTGGTTGGAGGGTTATCTGCTGTGTAAAACATATGATGAATAAGTTGGCAGTTCATTCTGCTGTGTCGACTGATAAATTAAGGGACTAAGCCGAAGGAAAATGAATAAATTAATTATTTTATATACATAGAAAACATATCAAATGCATATAAAGTGGCTGCTTCAATATTTTTTAGTAACTTTGGTGAAAATTAAATGTCCACAATGTTCCCTTGTCACTTACTGTAATATGAATAATAATGAAACATTAATCTGACCTAAATTCTTAAAAAATAATAATAGAAAGAAATTAAAGGAGCAAATTAATACAATTTTAGATTATTAAAAAACATATTTTGCTGACAAATTAGTCAAGCCTAGCAGTTTGTATAGGACTTATTTAAAAAAAATGGTAATTAATTATTTTGCACTGCTGCATTGTGATCCTCAAATAGAGTCTAATTAATTTAGCTGTAAATCAAGATCATTTATATTAAATTTTGTTACAATAAATGTCAATTTTGTCTTCTCAAGGTAAAAAAAAAAAACATATATAGTCATAATATTTCTCTGTAAAATTTGAAATACAATTAAACAGGGCACATTATAATATATAAAAGCCATTTCTGTTTCTGACTCACACATAAATGATACTGACTGTACAGTACGCATACAAGCTTTTCCAAGAAGACAAATAAACTTTCCAGGTATTAGTTTACCATCTTTCTACATCACTGATCTTCAATGATCCTTAAATGACAGACTGTCAAGCATGTGACAGTCCTAGAAGCAGGATAATTGAAAAATATGTATCCCAACAGCTTCCTAAATCAATAATAATCATCAGCCAGTCCATTTCACTTAACACCATGATTAAAATCACTGGGTGTGAACACACATACACAAATACAAGAATACTGCCACTCTGTACCAAGAGCAATTATTGATTCAGAGCAGTCAAACCAAGCATCTGTCCTCTTGCACAACGCTGCATGAACAAACAGCCTCTTGTTACCAAATCCAGAGGCATTCGGAGGAGTTTTATCAAATATACATCTACTGAGATCCAGCAGAAATGCTGTTGAAGTCTGTGGATTAAAACCTAAGTTTGTTCACCACACCCTCATTACCATTGACCTTTCTTATCATTAATTATGTTGTACACTCTGTACCTGAATTAATGTACTGGAAATACTGATAATATGAATGTACACTGAGTTTTAAAGAAACCTAAATAGTTATAAGTTAGCCAAATTTGAAGGATTCATCAGTAATTATACACAAAACAAATAATAAACAAATTAAAAGAATTGGTTTGTTTCTGATAACCAACAGTAAAGTTGTATCTGATAAACTCCTGCTGATAAACAGTTGAAGTCAGAATTATCAGCTCCCCTCAATTATTAGCCCCCCCAATAAACTAGGCATGTGCCGATAACCATTTTCAAAGCACGCCACGATTTGGAGTAGGGTTGTCGCAATACCATAAATTAATGCTACGATACTATACTAGCTAAGGTATCATGATTCCAAATACTGTAGTATTGCAATACTGTAATTCATAATTCAAATTATAAAGAAAATTGTCAGAAATACTATATTTTATGTTATTATAGGCCTACTTGAATGTAATTCATAATTCCTTTAAGGCCAAAAAGTATTATTTGCACCCCACTTCACCTAAAACTTATTGATTCTTTTTGTTTTTTATGTAGATAACTGACAAATAACAAAATACATTAAAATAAACATAAAAATTATGCAGAATGAAATTTGTTACAAAAGAAAAAAAAAAAATCCTATTTTTCTGTTGCTATTTTGGGTTTTTTCATCTATTTTTGTATTCAGTCTTATCAGGTAAAAATTTAAAAATTTAAAAGTAATAAAAAATTGTACTTTGTGAGTTGTTCTTTTAAAGAGAGTGTTGCGGTCGTAAACAAAGCATATTAACAGGAACATAAATTAACAAATCGTTAGAAAATGTACAATAGGCTACCATAACAGGCGCGAATTCTACACAGTTTTGCAACCTCAAAGGGCTCCACAGATTATTCAAATAAAATGGTTTATTGTTGCACAAACATGTGAGCATGTTAGTGACTTTTCCATATGCAACAATATCTATTGTAGTAAAACCATTATTGACGATACTACCGTTTACAAACTACAGTGGCACCACGGGCCATAGTATTGCGATACTACCATAGTACCTGTAAACCAAAAAAAGAAGTCAAGGTTTTTTTAGGGCAACAGTATCTCTAGCAGAAAATATGATGCTGTTTTTAATTTTATTGAAATCTTTGTTTTTGAAACAAATGAAGACAGCAGGAGTCAATGATTCATTTTCATTATTCAGCCTGACATGTTTACTGCTCCAAAATATTTTAAATGCTTCTCAAAATAAAATGGCTTGTGTTCAAAACGTTTAGTTTTAGAAGTTTTAGTTTTTTACTCAGAAATTTAACCCTCCTATCGTGTTTACCTCCCGCTAATTACTTTAGTGTTCCTGGTCAAAATTGTTCAGTCGGTTTTAACTGCTCTTTAAGTAATTGACGAAAAACACTTTTCAAAACCAAATATTTATTCAACATTCTTTAGCTGTTCACAATTTCCCTAACATAAGTTTATAGAATTAGACATAAAATAACTGCAGTAAAAAATGAAAATACAAATAGTAAGTGTGTTGGGGTGGTGTACAGTACATGGGGATATTTTCGGTCTGATGGATGAATATAGTCTGGATACATAACAAGGTTGACTAAAACCCTCAAAATTCAATGAAAAATGTGATCATTAATTTAATATGTTCAAGTGCATAGTGTGGAGGATATGATAAGGCCTTGAGGCAATTAGATGTAAAGCACAATTTTTAAGAGTGTTTTAAGTTACTGTAAATCGGTCAGAATTGACCCAAACACAACACGAAGGTTAAAACAAATATATTTTAGAGCAGTAATTACAATACCGTGAAACCATGATACTGTGATATTTTTATCCAATGTTATCATGCAGTCAGAATCTTATACCAGCCCATGCCTAAAATAAACACACACACACACACACACACACACACACACACACACACACACACACACACACACACACACACACACACACACACACACACATACAAATCTACTAAAAATGTAAAAACAATTGAACTTCAGTCACTTAGCAAAGAAAATGCAATACTGTTTTAAAAGCATGCATACATTTATCTATGATATGTGTACAAATCATTAGTATAGACCATTTTGAGAGATGTAAACAAAAACAATGGTCCCAGGGTATTTCCTGTTTTACATTTTTAATATCTTTAGCTTCCGAGAGTCCAAAAAGCATCACATATTGCTAAAAAAAATGTTGTGATAGCTATTTTAACATTAAGTTATGATTGAATTGCCTGTTGTTTGATATGAAATTATTTGATAACAAGCAGGAAATGTTCATTGGCCAATGACATGAGCACATTGAAATGGCCTATAAACAAAATTATATGTAAGAAATGTAATTACAGATACATTTTTCATAAAATCCTTAAAGTCTTTCGAGCTACTTTAGACGCTAGAGGCGCCAAAGAACAAACTGGAACTGGATTGCGCAAGACTGTGAACCCCAGAAAGTGGCGTCTTGAATTGATTTCCAAAAATATTAAACAATATAAAACTGATAAGCTGTGAAATCTGTGCACCCAAAGACATGACCAGCGAGGAACCTATCACAACATATATGCCACCTGACAACTTCTAAAACGGATACTTTACCCACAAATGAAAACAGAATTATGGGAAGAATACAAATTTAGTCAACAAATGGAATTCCCTTTAAAAACGTGAATGTAATCAGCTCCTAAAATCTCCCATGAGAAAACAGAAATCATACTGTTTTACAGAAACAACAAAGAGCGGAGTAAATTATGTTTTATTTTCAATTATATATCCTCATGGAAACAGTTCAATTTAACCTCATATATCCTACGTATAATAATATAGCTTAAAGCACTGCTCATTCTGTCTGTCCAATGAAATTTCCCACACGACTCACATATAGAGTTAAACACACACATCAACAAAGAATACATTGACAAACCCGACTGGTTCTGTCAGCGTGGAAGAGTGTGTGTTTGTGTGATGTAGGGGTGGGAATTGTTTGCCATATTAGCTATGCGGCTGTCTTACCCTGTTTGTCCGTGAGGGTATTTAAATTATCCAGATGTGATATAAAATCCTCGCTAAAGAGTTCGAGATCCCAGCCTTGTGATCTCGAGCCACATCAGCCTGCGTTTTGCTTTCTGATTCACTGCCATGCTGTCAGTGACGCCCAAAAGCATGTCAACAGGAATCGTCGTCACGTACGTCACGCCCCTTAGGTGTGGCCAAGGAACTCCTAATATGGAACTGTTGAAGAAATAACCTGTTCAGTACAGGTATTTGCTGTATACAGATACAGACTACACCCTCATCACTGTTGACCCTGCTTATCGTCGGTTATCCTTTTATCATATCGTGTACCTAAATGTAAACACTGGAAAAGTGGTGAGTGTGCAGGTTTAAAGGAACATAAGAAGAAATATGTTTCTTTTGTTTTATTGAAGACTGCATTAAGCTGTGATGGATTTTAATTCTCAAAGTTAGATAGATTCATATAGAATTTATAATAGGAAGATTCTACACATATAATCTATAATACAGATTTCATACAAAAACTATACTTACTGTTAAAGGGTTAGTTCAGACAAAAATGAACATTTGGTCAATATTTATTCACTCTCAAATGGTTCCAAATGTTATTTCTTTCTTCTTTTGAAAACTGAAAGCCTCTAACCATTGACTTATATAGAATATTTTGAGGGATGTAAACAAAAGCAATGGTCCCAACATATTTCTTGTTTTACATTTCTAATTTCTATAGCTTCTGAGAATTATTATAGCTGTTTTAACATTTAGTTATGGTTGAATTGTCTCTTGGTACAGTTATGAAATACTTTGATAGCAAGCAGGAAATGTTCATGGGCCAATGAAATCAACCAAAATAAAATTTCCTTTAGTAAGAAAAACAAATACTATGGAAGTCAATGATGACACGTTTCAACTGTCTTCAGAATACAGTATATTCTTCTTCTTCTTCTTCTCTCTCTCTCTCTCTCTCTCTCTCTCTCTCTCTCGCTTTCTCTCTCTCTTTCTCTCTCTCTCTCTCTCTCTCTCTCTCTCTCTCTCTCTCTCTGTTTATGTATGTGTGTGTGTGTCAATCAGAATTATTAGCCCCCTGTTTATTTTTTTTACCCAATTTTTGTTTAACAGAGAGAAGATTTATTCAACAAATTTTTAAACATAATATTTTTAATAACTAATTTCTAATAACTGATTTATTTTACTAGTTTAGCTTAAAGTGACATTTAAAGACTTAACTAGGTTAATCAGGTTAAATAGGCAGGTTAGGGTAATTAGGAAAGTTATTGTATAACGATGGTTTGCTCTGTAGACTATCGAAAAAAATGGCTGAAAGGGGCTAATAATTTTGTCCTTAAAATGGTGTTTAAAAAATTTAAAAAATGCTTTTATTCTAGTCCAAATAAAACAAATAAGACTTTCTCCAGAGGATTATCAAACATACTGTGAAAATGTCCTTGCTCTCTTAAACATAATTTGGGAAATATTTAAAAAAGAGAAAAAAAATTCAAAGGGGGGCTAATAATTCTGACTTAAATTGTATATGCTTTTTGCATTCTATAAAACTACAACAATATATGGAAGAAAAAAAACATAAACAAAAAGCAATCAGGCCCACAGACTGTGAGGATGATGAACACTTAACACACCTCACACAAACTTTTTCCAAACCCCCCTTTAAGATGTAGCATGCACAGCACCTTAACCAATCCCTATTTAAAACAATATTGCCTACAATAATTTTCCACCAACAGTCAACATATGTGTACACCCTTTTTTTGACTGTGTGCTTGTCTGTCTGTGCCTACATGTGTGTAATGTGTGTTTTTCTTAACATGTTTATTGTCTTTCACATATTTAGGGTCTTTTAAGTACAGTATTATTGTCAACATTGCTAATTATAAATTGTTTTGTTTTTTAGAGGATGTTGTTGTATTTTGCACTGTCGGGTGCCAGCACCTAAGCTTTTTCACTCATCATAGTACACGTGTTACTGACGATGGGACAATAAAAGAGATTTGATTTATTTAGCGGGTCAGGTAATGCATACATAAAAGTAATTATAAAGTAACATTGTTCTTATATTACCAGTAACATGCATTATCCTGACTATAGTTTTATTGTCAAATAATAGTTTGGGCACATAAATACATTATGAATAGTTGATATCAATTACACTCAATCTTTATGTTATTGACAGGGGTCATTGGTTATGCTTGCATTTCGTAAAATGCATTAAGGTGTTTTAATATATATGTCTCCATGTTATGTCAAATATCTCAGATTTATCATTATTGATTTATCTCAATCTCTCCTAAGCAAGCATGTTTACATGATCTCTACCCCACATACCAAATTTGGGCACAGATTCAGTTTTCCACATTCTCAAAATCACCCGTTTGACAATTACCATACCAAATAACATGGCTTGTCTTTCATATTTATTAGACATCTCTAAGTTACTAAATAAAAACAGCTATGAGTGGACATGGTTCAAGATTTTCTTGGAGGGCTTTAGAAAAATATTCAAATATATTTTCCCCAAATTCCTGTAATTTAGGACACAACCATATCAAGTGGGTCAGGATCCTTCTGCTGTTTTACACCTGTTACAGAGTGGAGATACCTGAGGAAAAGTCTTATGCAGTTATATTTATATTTAACAACAAATAATCACCCCATCAAACTAGTAAATAATTGTGATTTACATTATACTAATTTAATCTTTAAATTTTGATTTTTTTTTTCATGCCAGGCTGCAGAAATATTGACCAGCATTTCTGTACATCTTTATCTTTTGGAGAATTACTTACAGTATACTTCCAAACTGTGTACTCAGCAGTCAGATGCAACCTGGGAGTGTCAATAACATGTATTTAGATCTGCGGGCTTTAGCCAAGTAGTATTAATTGCTGTGATGTGGTCACCATCACAACAACCCAACACTCTTGCCCTGTATTTCTCTGTCATACAGTTACTCACTGCTCAGGAATCCTCTGGAACAGCAAGTGTGTGATTTGATTAAGTGGTGAGACTTCACATTCTGACCTCAATGTAAAGGTGGGCATTACACATGAACACATAACTAACAATACATTTTACTTTAATTACACTTATGAACCACTTTTGCTAATGCTCTGTCATATCATTTTATAAATAAGGCCCACAAAACTTGTGGAAATGTTGATATTTTCATGTATTGCCATGATATACTACTATGTTTTCTCAACCATCAAAAAAAAAAAAAAAAAAACTACCTCTGTAAACTTTGTGTGGATGTGTGATTTTGTTCTGGTTATGAGCAAATTATATATCCCTTCTATGGCAGATAATTTAAATTAACAGATTAATGTCACAAATTGGTGGGTAGTGCTGTCGACTCACAACAAGAAGGCCGCTGGTTCGAGTCTTGTTGGCATTTCTGTGTGGAGTTTGCATGTTCTCCCCGTGTTCGCATGGGTTTCTGGTTACAACCACTGATTAATAAAGCGACTAAGCCGAAAAGAAAATGAATGAATGTCACAAAATATTTTTAAATTATGCCCCATATAATTTTTTTTAATATTTTGTCCATGCACTTTAGTTTGAAGCTAAAACAATTATGGCTGTAGCATGATATTACTTAAGGGTTTCAAAATAATATGTATCAAAGTTTGAATAATAAATGCTAGAGTTAAAAGTCCAAAACCTTCTGTCAGGGTATTATATGCTTTGTGGATTTGATCTGTACAAATTTAGAGAAATTGTCTTTGTCCTCTAGGTTGTGCTGTTGTTCTTTGATCGTGCACTTAAGTCAACTTACATGCTAAAGATAAATGTAAAAATTGTTCTTTATGTGTTAACTTGTGATATATTGTCCCAAACTATACTGGCTAGATGTTATACTCTTTCCATTGCTTTGAAAATCTGACCAGATTATTCAGACTACCCAGCAGAAAACAACCCGCATGTCTAATAATAAAAAAAAGTTTTCCAAGGATGAACTACTTTAACATTACAACATGGTGATCTTTTCAACAGAAGAACGGTGAAACAACTGGAATGAATTTGGACAGAAGTCTCCTTAAGATCCTCAAGACTGATGTCAAAGGATCCAGGTAAATCAAGATAATGCAGGACAATATACAGACATATTGAGAAATGGCTTTAATAATGCAATTATCGAAGCATATAACCTCAGATTATTAACCCGTGTATGTTGCGCTTGTCTCTAGATTACAATATCAATGTTATAAGAGAAATGATATTTTAGGCATTGCACAAAAATGGAGTAAAACAAAGTAAGACATTATTGTGTGTGCATTGTCCTTCTGCTCTGAGTATCTGAAATGAGAGCTCAGTTTTACTGTTTTAGTTATGTAACTGCATTCCTTCACCATAGTCAAATGGAAACACAAATGTGTGCGTGGATGTGAAATGTAGGCCAGCACAAAGTCCTGCTCAGGGTTATCGGAAAAAAGAAGAACAAAAATGAGCTCTGTATGTGTGTGTGTGCTCCACAAATTGTCTGTTTTTGGTACTAAGGGGTATTAAAAGCAGGTTATGTGACATACCTGGGTAAGTTTAAGGATGTGTTAGACAGATAATCTCAGATTTCAGTAACAGAGGAAACTTTTTAAAGTATGTAAAACACCACAGCATTTGATTCTGGCATGTATGTATGTATCTAGTATGTGGGTGTGTTACTAAATATGGTTATTTATTAAAGGCACAACACGTGAGTTTTTTTAAATAAAAGGTGTCATACAGTATATATTTCTCATCAGCAATTGTTTAGGTTAGCAAGCCTTCAGACTTAGGGCCTACTACGTGCCCAGGCCCGTTTCCCAGATCGTTTGAGAAGTGTGAGTGCACTGAATCAGGCTCAAGCATGGTTTACTTGGCCGGCCCTGGCCCGGTTGGAAGAGGTGTGCCTGAGCGCAGTTCACTTGGGCTTTGGCACGGTACGCTTCTGTGTGAGTGCAAAACGCGCCAAAGCCCGAAACTGAAAGCGAGACGTGACTTTTAAGGGGCTGTTTCATATGGATTTATTAATCATTCTTACTGTTCAGTGAACGCAAACTGCCGTAGTTTAATAAAGACGAGAACTCCTCACAGCACGACAGCTGCTCGGCCTCAGCATACT